ACTGGCAACTACGCGGAGGAGAGCCTTCTCTGTGGCAGCTCCGACCCCGTGGAGATTCGTACCCTCACCACCCTCCAGACCTTCCGCATAGCACTTAAAACCTGGCTGTCCCGACAGGCCTGGGGCTAAAGACCTTCACCGTACCCGAATTGTATGAATGTTGTGCTTTTAATGATGTATTGTCTTATATGTAACTCGGTTTGTCTCCCCCTCCCCTTGAATTGTGAGCCGCCCTGACTCCCCTTGCGGAAAAGGGCGGCATACAAATATTAATAAATACAAAATACAAATACAAAATCCTTCTGGAACTTGAGTTTTTCTTATGTTACCAATTAAGCAAGCTGGCTCCTACATAGAATAGAATATTGCTGGAAGGGACCATGGAGGTCTTCTAGCCCAGCCCCTGCTCAAGCAGGAGAACCCATACAATCCCAGGCAAATGACTGTCTAGTCTCTTCTTAAAAACCTCCAGTGATGGAATGCCCACAAGTTCTGGTGGCAAGCTGTTCCACTGGTAAATTGTCCTCACTGTTAGGAAGTTTCTCCTTAATTCCAGGTTGCTTCTCTCTTTAGTTAATTTCCATCCATTGCTTCTTGGCTTGCTCTCTGGTGCTTTGGAGAATAATTTGACCCCCTCTTATTTGTGGCAGCCCATCCTTAAGCGGTGGGTCCCTTAGGATGCCATTAGGACATCACAAGAACCCTTTCAGAGACTGTGGACCACACCCTCCCTCTCCGCCCAGCAGAGTTGCTGCTGTGACGACTATAGGGACGTGAAGCTTTATGGGCTGCTGGTTTGAGCTCCAAGCTTAGCAATTTGGTGGCATACATGACACTTTATGTATGCACCATGTAGAAAATAAAGATGGCTTAGAAACCTAATCAATAAATGCCATGGCTGGATTTAGAGGCTCCACCTGGAACTCACCTATGACAGATACTGCATGGCAGAAGATGCGACTGTTCTCACACCGACAGTATTCCTTTCTCCCTTTGACTTGGCGGAGCCAACTTTCCTTCTGATTGTAGGTCTGTTTGGTGGATGGGTCTCTGCATTTGCCTGTAATTGAAAAGACAGGAAGTCCTTCCCAGTTTCGATGGCAGGACGCCTTTCCCTTCACCATTGTGTGCCCAGTATAGAACAATCTACAGCTTTTAGCAACTTTTCTTCTCCAAACCTCATTCCCCGCCCCCCCAAAAAGGAGTTTTCTTCTTCCAAAGATTTGGCAAGCCCCTCAAAACCTCATCTGATAAGTGTCTTTGAACTTAAACACAAACTGTTTTTATAAAGCTGGTTGACATGAGTGAGCAATTGTATGCTTTTCCTGTTTTTATCCCGCTGGGGTTGATGTGGTTTTATTATTGGCATGGTTTATTATACTATATTATTTATTTTCACGGTATTTCATATGCCAGCCTGGCATTCTATGAGGAAAGGCTTCTTTTAGCATAATAGACTTCTTTTAGCATAAAAGAAAGGATGAAGGGTGTGCTAGATCTGAAAGAAACACAGTTATCAGATTAGTCGGTAGACTAACAAGCTTGGCTAATCCCCATCCCTCTTTTTTTTTAAAGTGAGAATCTCCTGGCTCTCTTGAGATGCCCTAAGAATCTTCCTAAGAATCTAATAGGACCACAGAAGCTGCAGGGAGGGAACTGGATGGCTACTGTTGTTTTGGAAGATCCACACAGGCAGTTGCTTGCTGTTCACAGGATCTGCAGAGACAGATAGTCCTTGACTTACGACTACAATTCAGCCCCCAATTTTTTCATTGCGAAGTGAGCCGTGTTGTTTTGCCCCATTTTATGACCTTTCTTGCCATGGTTGCTAAGCGAATCACTGCAGTTGTTAAATTAGCAATACGGTTGTTAAGTGGATCTGGATTCTCTGTTGACTTTGCCTTCAGAAGGTTGCAAAGACACTGCAATGGTCATCAATATGAGTCAGTTGCTAAGCATCTGAATTTTGATCACATGATGGGGAGGCTATAATGGTTGTAAGTGTGGAAAAACGGTCATAAGTCACTTTTTCAGTGGTCTTGTAACTTTGAACAGTCACTAAATGAGCTGTTGTATGTCAATGACTACCTGCATTTGGAAAGGCGCTGAATTCCCATCCCCCACCACCCCAATATTTATTTGTTGGGCATTCCATCCTTTGGGGGGGGGTGCACTATCAGTCATCTTCTTTGGAGGTCTTCTCGTCCAACCCCTTCTTCAAGGAAGGAGCCTTATACCATCCCAGTCATATGGCTGTCCAGTTCTCTTCTTGCAAACAACCATCATTCCAGGTGGCAAACTGTTCCGTTGATTCATTGCTCTCCCTGTCAGGAAATTTCTCCTTAGTTCCAGGTTGGGCCTCTTTAATGAGCTTGTCTGAAATAGTTTGAGGGCTCCTGCCTTGGGTATAGGGTTGAACTACAAGATTTTTGGTCACCATACTACAAGAAAGACGTTGAGACTTTGGAAAAAGTGCGGAGAAGAGCAACTAAGATGATCAAAGGCCTGGAGACTAAACCATATGAAGAACAGTTGCAGGATTTAGAGTTGGCTAGTCTAAAAAAAAGAATTAGGGGTGACCTGATAGCAGTCTTCCAGTATTTGAGGGGCTGCCCCAAAGAAGAGGGAGTCAAATTATTCTCCAAAGCACCAGAGGGCAGGACAAGAAAGAATGCTTGGAAACTAATCAGAGAGAAGCAATCTGGAATTAAGGAGAACTTCCTTAGTAGTGAGGACAATTAACCAGTAGAATAACTTGCCTCCAGAAATCACTGGCACTCCATCCCTAAATGTTTTTAAGAAGAGAGTAGATAGTTACATCTGAAATGGTATAGGTTCTCCTGCTTGAGTAGAGGGCTGGACTAGTAGGCCTCCAAGGTTCCTTCCAGATTCTCTGCTCTTCTCTGCTCTTCTCTGCTATCTATTCTATTCTATTCTATTCTATTCTATTCTATTCTTCCCTAGTCTCCTCCAATGGGCACTTACCTCTTAGTTGATTTTCTCGGCTACTTTGGAAAATGCGTACCATATGTACCTAGAAAGAGAAAAGAAGCAATCAAAATAATCAAGAACAGAAAGTTGATTAGATTCCAAGGGTTAGAAAAGTGGGGATCTTGGAGGTCTTCTAGTCCAACCCACTGCCCAAGCAGGAAACTGTATACCATTCCCATCATTACTGGAAAAGCTTGCCTCTGGAAGTTGTGAGTGCTCCATCACTGGAGGGTTTTAAGAAGAGACTGGACAACCATCTGTCTGAGAAGTTAAGCCTTCTTCCAACTCTATTATTCAGTTCTGCTGTTCTGTTAACAGCCTTCCTCTTTAGAAAGCTGTTTGTGATTGGACTTCAATCCAGCTGAGGGATTTGCAGAACTGGATCAGTCTCTCATCACTCTTCCTTTTGTATCTTTCAAAGCTCTAAGCCCGCCTGCAGAAACCCTCTCCCTTCTAAGCTTTGTGAAGCTGGCCATGAGCCTTTTTGTTCCAAGGCCCAAATAAATATCCTTTTGATCTATGGCACCACTCAAGCCAAGCTTACAAAACAAACCCCATCTGTTATCTGACAAGTCCCTAGAACCATACCCGGCTGCCGAACGAAGCCGGAGAATAACCCACTGATGGGCATGCTGCCTCTTACCTGGCACTGAAGCACACCGATGGCTCCTGCCAGGAGAAGGAAGAGAAGACTCTGTCTCAGGGTCATTTTATTTCCCTTTCAGCAAGCAAGAAAACCCCTAAAAGGCAACCAGGCAGAGTTGTTAGCGTAAGGAGGCAATGCGTCTGGCACAGATTTAATACAAGAGCCTTGGAGCTTCGTTTGCAAGGGGGGGGGTAGGGGGAAGCAAACACACATAAGGTTCTGGCAGAGGGATAATGAGAACAGATGGCTGGGGGAGGATTTCTCCTTAGTCAGCTGGAGGCTGAGCAATGGCAGCTGCACAACAGCACCATGGACACCTAGTTTAAGGTAGCCAGGCTGATTTTCTCGCACAGCTTATCTCCATCCCATAAAGTTGCCCTAGATCTGGTGTTACCTTTCTGGTCTGGGTGTTGAAAGCAGCTTCCTTGGCCTGAAAACTGGGGTTGTGGTTTTGGCTTTCTGTTGGTCTGGGTCACTGGGGCTTCAATTGTGTGACTCATTCATCCTAGCCATAACAGACGTCCAGGGTCTTTAAGTCAGCTCCCAAAATTAAACTTTTTCTGATCTTGCCAAGGCAACGGGGCTGAATTTTGACTGTCCCGCCATCTTCAAGTCACTGCAATAATTTCCCCAGGGCAAACGCTATCTTTCCTCGTGCTCAGTTTCCCCAATCTGAAAATCATCTTCTGCAGAAATCTTCTTATAGTTTTGTACGGCGCATACCAATGTACAAGCAAACGACACCCACCCTGAAGAAATTTGAAGCTAGTGGGATCAACTGGGAAATGGAGGGATGGGGGATGACTGATAGATGAGTCACTTAGCCAGAAACCAAAACAGAAAAAAGAGATAAAGTTTTGGGTTCAAATAAAGAATGGGCTTTGAGCAAAAGTAAATGAAGTGAAAACGAACAATTTCAGAGCTTTCAAAGAAGTCAAATAGGAGGGGGAAAAACAGTCACAGGATTTGGAATTCCCCGTTGTTCAACATCAAAGGTGCCAGGTTTTGGCTTCCAGGGAGTGGCCTGTCGCCGTCGGCAGCTTAACAGAGCTGCCCCCAGAATTCAGGTTCATTATCTACTCAATATCAAGAAGATAACTCTTTTTTCAGACAAGAAAAAAGCAGTGAGGAATCTCAGCTGGTAAGAATCTTCTTTGAAGTTCACAGTTTGTTCCTTTGTGGGCTGTGGACGGAGGGGGAGGATCAATCCAAAGCTGAGTCATTCAACTCCGACCTGAACTTCGCAGCTGTTATTTACAGCACAAGACAGGAACCCCTCCCCCTTAGGACATCTTTAGAAAACAGACTATTAAAAATCAATACGAGCAAAGACCAAACTTGTGAACTTTAAAACCTTTCTCTATCCGAAATACCAGCTTCAATGTTATAAAAATTAGATTTAATCTTAGAAGGGAAAAAGACGTTACTTTTGGGAATTTATGCTCCTAATC